AAGATAAGGAGGACATTTTTAAGTTCAACAATTACAATGTGGATGGAGGAATTTCTAGTGTTTGAGTTTTGTAATGTAAATTCATTAAACAAACATGTAGAAAATTGTACCAATCAAACGAGGGTTCGTGTAAAAATACAACTACTTGGCTTAAACATAAAACATGTAAGACTTAGAAACACATTCCAAAAGAGAGCCAAAAGGTAAAATGAATCTAGCGAACCATATTGAAATGTGTGGAATTCTTGATACAATATTAGCAAGAGTGGTATTCTTGATTCGAAACATACTCGTGGGGCAATTTGCCAGACGAAGAATAGAGAAAGTAGAATGTTTAGCATATTGGAAATCATACCACGAAGTTCCTCAAATAGAATCTTGTCGAAGTTCCTCTATCTTAACTCTTTAGGTATCCATTTTATTTAGTTCATACCCAGTTCAAATTCTATGACTTTTTTAACTTTTAATTCTTATTATGTTTTCGTCAATAAATGTTTTGGGTAGAGATTTGAACCTTCGAAGGGAAATGGTACATGCCAATTAAAGTTTAAGTTGTAGTTGTGACAATTCATTATTCGAAGGGGAGTAGAGTAGTTCCATGATCCACAAATTATTGAAATCATAAATTTCATAGACTGAGAATTTGATGGTACAATTGAATAAGGTTATGTTCATTTTCACGGTAGTTAAACACTTTTTGAAATATTAAAATAAGAAGACAAAAAACATTAGGTTTAGAAAAGTAACTCTTTAAAGCTATACGAAGTTCCAAGATTAAGCATATTGAACTATTAGAATCAAGTACATAGGAACAATCTAACCGGAATTCACTAAACGATGTTAACTTTAACTAAACACACTAGAACTAAAATTCTCTCATCACGACCACATCATTTATATAAATTTTTCGTCGGCCTGCTAAGTCAAATAAGAGTGAATGGGTATCCACTCATAGACTCGTACTCAATAAAAGTCTAATTAGTTCACTTAATCACGTCTCACTTAAAGATAGCTCGTTAAATAGCCTAATAATATAATCATATCAATATATGAACTATGGTATTAGAATAAAAGATTCTAAACACTTCCCACTCATAATCATCATGTTTATTGGAGAGTAACTCAAAAGCACTTTTAAAAAAGTAAAAAGTATATATATAAAAAAAAAACAATTATAAGCACTTAGGGTCATTTTTCATTAGAATGCCATGAATTTGGCCATTTTCCCTTCAAAGCGAATTCGGAATTCTTTTAAATAATAATGGGCCAAAGCCCATGGGCTTCTACTCCAATGGTGTTGAACCAGTCAAAACACATTAATGAATCTCTAGAAAAGGAAAAAAAAACAAAAGCAAATGAACAGAACAAGTTCCAAGCAATTGTCCACTACATTTAGTTATCTGATCTGTATGGAGCCTGAGAATCTTTGTATACAACCCAACAAACAAATATGGGCACAAACGCCTCTCAACCACACGCGCCGAGCGGGACAGCCTCTGAGAGTGGGACACTTCCTTCTGTCCTCGTCTTAAACTTTTATGATTTTTTTTTTCAATTTTATATGTAATAAATCCGAAAACTTTCAAATGGTGAAATAAGTTGTTGAATAAGCCATTGATCTACTTGAATTTTTAAAAAAGAAAATAATTCATTGGTCCGACCTGACTTTTCACTTTTGTTTCTAATAGATTCCGTTTATTTAAAATTTTATGTAATATGTCATTGGCGTATTAGATACGACTTATTAGACATATTTTAAACTTGAGAGATGTATTAGACTTAGTCTTGAAGGTGTATGAACTAAACTTGTAATTTCACCGAATAATGGTTCGGTTTAAATTCTATTTTACCATGTGTACTTTTAGTTTTTGTCTATTTTTGRTTCATATATACTTTCAAAACGTTAATTTTAATCATTGTATGCAAAAAATACTCTGGTAAATTCTATACATAAAAGAAACTTCTTAATATAAAGTTACGACAATATTTCAAGAAATTGATTGAGTATAGTTTTTTGTTAAAATCTAATAAAAAAAAAGGGAAAATATATTTTCCAGAACGACCTAATTCTAAAAGTATGAGAACCAAAATATACGTTTTAAAATTAAAATGACAAAAACAATTATATACACCAAAATGACTATTTTGAAAGTATATAAATCAAAATTGACAAAATTAATAGTATATAGACCAAAATAGAATTTAAACCATTTAAAAAAAATAACACATTTGGACTCCAAGTACGATGTCAAGATACACAAAAGCTCAAAGTAGAAGTATAGAATCAAAATAAACTTTTGAAAATATATGAAAATAGAAAAGATGTGAAAATATAAGGAAATTAAATTGAAGTGTAATAAGTAAGACTCTATTCGGTAATAACGTCGTTTTTAGTATTATATTTTAAAAAATTATGTTTGTTTTCTCACATTTTTTTAGAATATTTTTCACATTTTTTTTCAGTTTAATTTTTAAAATTAAAATAAAAAAAAAAAAGTTTTTAATCTGAATGTAAACGCGCGTTCGATGCACGCGACAGTGATTTCTAGACGCTTAGGTGCGACGCAGGTGCATAACGGTCAATGCGAAATAAAGTGCTCTCTGACGTTGATGTGGTAGACGAAAACAAAGATCCAAAGGCTGTAATTGCATCACTTTTAAGGAAATTCCGTTTTAATACCAGCATTTTTCAATTTATTAATTATTAGGGTACTTGCAAATCTTCCATAATCTAAATAAAATAATTAATTTTCAAAAAACAATTATAAATATAAAAAATAAATTACAAGACATGTGCGTAACAGCGTAAGTGATGACGATTAATTAATACGCTGGTTAATATTAATTTCTTGTTGCTATGATTATAGTTAATCAATAATTAGTCAATTATCCATATTTATTCTTTTAAAAAAAATCACCAACTTATATTTATCTATGAATAATTTTTTAGGAATAATCAATGAATATCATAATAAAATGTCTAAGCTTAGCTTAATTAGCTTAATTGGTTAAGTGAAGTAAAAAATTTTCACAATTTTACATTATA